TGTGCTTTACGCTTGTGTGTGTTTGCGCGCGGGCGTGTTGTGTAAATAGCGTGTGCGGTACGCGTGGGTGTGCGTGCGTGCGTGCGTGCGTGCGTGTTGTGTAAATAGCGTGTGCGGTATGCGTGGGTGTGCGTGCGTGCGTGCGTGCGTGCGTGCGTGCGGTATGCGTGGGTGTGCGTCTGCGAGATAAGCGGCGACGACCGGTGGCTGCAATCGCGGGACTATTTCTCCTTCACGTGTTTCGCATTGTTAATTTAAAGGAGGCGTGTCGGCGTTACATCCCATAATGTTGTGTCGCCTACTGAGTAGATGGGTTCCCGGTAGTTTTTGATAGCAAGAGGAATGGTCGAGGCGCCAGTCTAACAGTGCAGCCTGCCGTGGGAGAGCGCGCGCAAGTGGAAGTTTAGTGGCCCCGGGTATTTTTCCAGTGGTGGGTGGGAGTAAGGACACGTACGTACACCTCCTTTAATAGGACGTTTCAATACAATGTGGTTGGTGTGTAACTCTCCACCGCAGTTACAGAGTTTATAACGTTGTTGCTGTTGTCGTTGAGGTGTAGCCAACGCGGAGCTGTGTTTGTTTGATCACTGAATCGAACTTGGGGAGAATTTCACTTTTAAATTAGATGTGTAATAAATATGACTGATATGTCACGAGTTGTCGATTATGCAAATAAAGAACGTATTTTATCAGGAAGGTTGATTGCCGTGACGAAGCCTCGTTTCCGCTCACTCGCCCCATCCGTTTACGCAAGAAGACGCAGCAGCAGCGAAAAACACGACAATGACTCGTTTTCCTTTTTAATAATTTTATTATTTATTGTCAATACACCTATATTACAAAATGTTCGAGCAGCCTGAGAGAGAGGCAGCCTACAGCGTTGTAACAGGGTTAGCCATGACGCGTGCACAAGGCGAAGTTTCCCCAGTTCCCAATCGCCCCTCAATGACCAAGTCTATCCCGATTCCCAATCGCCCCTCAATGAACCCCCCCTCCCCTCCCACCGTCATCACGGCGCGCGACAGGCTACTCGTCGAGAACTGATCGTGCGCGCACGCGCCTTCATTCTTTCTGCACACGGGTTTCACTCTAATACACACATATAATTATCACAGTTGATAAGATGCACGTTATCACTAAAGCAACCTTTAAACATCGGCTGCAGCGGCGGCAGCGTGTGTCAGATATCTCCTGCTCATCCTCGGCTAGATAGACGGGCGGCGAGCGGAGTCGCTCGGTCGCAACTGCTAAGCAATGTATAACAGCGACGGTGTCTGAACGTTTCCCTCGTCCATAAAGAATCCCCCGTGATGTGGCGGCGGCGGCGCATGGTTGCATAGCACGCCGCGTCACCACTCAGACGGTCGGCAGGTAAAAGCACCACGTAGCAACGCTCACGACGATAAAGCACGCGGCGGCGCCCCCTGGACCCGCGAATCACGCAGTGACCAGGGGTCAGGGGGAGGCGCGGCTAAACGTATTAATATTGGCCGACATGAGACTCTGGATTATTCATCGTGTCGTTTACCACTCCGACCACCAGGTGGCCTCCCGTAGCTGCAACGACCACGCACTCACTACACACATACACAGTAGCACATTGAACACCACTTTAGCTCTCCTATATATATATCTATATATAATATAGTTTCGTTGAATGACGTTTTGATTTCACAGTGAAATGACGTTACAGATTCTGCCTCGCGTACGCGACAGTGGGCACTGGCGCCCTCTGCAGGCACCGGCTTGTTAGCTTCGCGGTCAGACGCAGGAACACACGCCGACACGGGGAAGGGCGTGAATCCTCGCAGGTGCGCGTGTGAGCGAACAACGAACACGTAGGCACTGGTAAATTCTATTGCTTTCGTATATATGAACACGAGCTGCGATGGCAGATACGGCCGCTGAAACGATACCTGACGAAACGGAACAGAACGATGCTACGGACACTTGCCTCTCAGTGTACTTGCACAAAAAATAATTATTCATCATATTTCACAGTTATCAACCCACAGTCACAGTCTCAGTCGCTTCCGCCCACGCTCGCAAATCATAGAGAAATGTGTCGCCTTCCAGAATAAGCATATGCACGCACGCACGCACGCACGCACGCACGCACAGACATATATATACATGTCAAATAATGTCATGTGAGACTTGAGCACGCTGGCATTGCTGCTCTCACTAATCAAATTTAGTCAGTAATCTCAAATAAACACGTATTGAAAAGTTTTGTGTAATGAGAAAATTCTCAACCCTGATTCATAAGGTTCCAAGGTTCTAAACCCAGGCCATCTTAGATGATTGACTGGAATGACTCGATCCCACTTTCCTACTCTATCCCTCACTTCCCATCCCACCCTTTCCCCCTCTCTCTCTCTCTCTTCCACCCCTCCCCCTCTCTCACCTCCAGTTATCTCACTCGTTGCACATGCACATAACGTACATGACCAACATTCAACATGGGTCCAATCCCCGCTCTGCACCAGTTGTCTTGCTTTCGAGTCTCCACCTTACCGAAACAATCGCTGAAAGTCTGGGAATTCACAAACGAGGATAATTTTGCCCAAACCACGTCTGTGCGATGGCAGCGATCGCAGCGAATCAAACATCTCGGTCGCTCGTACGGCGTCTGTGTTTGCGTCAAACCTGCGGCCAGGCAGCAGCAGCAGTCGGGGAAACCTTATCACAGATGCATGGAATGTCGGAAACTGGTTTAGAAGCCCTGCCCCGATATTAAAAAAATTACATGTCCAATTGGCAATTACAGGCGCGCGCGTGCACACACACGCCTGCATGTACATAACGACCCACTGAGTAATCGCTAACTCCAGTAGAAGCTCTACATCGCACGGACTACACCGGTGACACAATATCTGCCAACAATCACAACCCCCACCCCCGCGTCGGCCCACATACGCGCAGGCGTCACCCACTGTATGTGGAAAGGAAATTAGTTTTTTTTTAAATAGAGAACGGATCTCAACGCGTAACTTAAGAGGCACCAGCATCAGGTAATCGGCCGCTCACTCACTCACTCACTCACTCACTCACTCACTCACTCACGCCCCACGCGTATGCACACACCCACCACACGCAAGCACGCACACTCAACACGCGGACACACGTACACACACACGCACACGCACACACTCATGGATGCACGCTCACTACGCACGCCCACCACGTACGCACGCACAGCTTTCGAAACCCCACAGCTCTCTATCCTTCTCCTACGGGCTCTCGGTCCATATATTCGATAATACTTTTTTTAAACAGGCAACAAAATATAAATAGGTATTCGCTGATATAATATATATATATATCGCATTTCGTTCCTCATTCGTCTATATTTACATAAGGCAGCACGTGAACGAATTCACCAGCGTGCGAGGGATGAGAAAAACACAAATTCCAGTCCTTCCACGCCCCCTGGTGGTCGTACCAACCATTCACGCCCTCCCACTGCTCGTTGCATATCCTATCGACCTCCTCCTCTGTCACTGGCTTCCTCTCTACCTCCTCCGCCTCCTCTCCTTCCTCCTCCTCCTGCTGCTGCTCCTCCTCCTCCCCTGCGACCTCCCTCAGGGGTGAGAGCTGGCCGTATATCGCGCGTAGCTCCTCCTCTATCGTTACGCGTTCCCGACCCGGGAGCGGCTCCGATTTGGCAACTGGTGACTTAGGGTAGGTGGCGCTAGCATCGTTCGATCGGTCGGGATCGTGGTCGAGCACCCAGTCGGGTAGCGGTGGCCCCGCCTGCCCGCCGCCGCCGCCACCAGGGCGCGCCTCCCGCCCCTCGAGCTTAGAGTAGATGAAGGAGAGGTCGACGCCAGACGCGACCTTGGATAGAGGTCGCAGCGTGGGGGAGTCGGGTCGCGTGGGCGGCTCGCTCGCGCTGCCGAACGCCGACGCGGGCGGAGGCCGCGACGTCTCCAGGAACTTGGCGACCATCTCCGTCTTGACCTTGGAGAGGTCGGTGTCGGAGGCGGCGGGCAGCAGCGGCGACGACGCTGCGGCGGCGGCGGCTTTCCGTCGCGTGTACTTACGTTTGCGCATCGAGTCCGGGATGACGGACGCGCGTCTGCTTTGCTCCTCGTCGTGCGTGAGGTCGCGGATTCTGCGCGCCGCGATCGCGTCCATCGTCGGAGAGTTCATCATGGACGCCGCCGGCGTGTTGTGAGCCTTCAGCCCCGCTATCAGCTCCGCCGTAGTCTTCACCTTCGCCAGCTTCACCCCGCCGCCGCCGCGGGACGGGGTCGCCACCTCTGACGTCGCCGCGTCCGAGCGCGTGCGCCCGGGGTCCGGCGGAGAGTCGTCGCGACATTCCTGAGGTGCAGCGAGATAGCGTGCGTCCGCGCCCAGCAGCGTCCCCGGCAGCAGGCCGTTAGGGGGCGCCACCGCCGTCTCGACGCCGCGCTTGCTGACGCTGTTCGCGTGCAGCTTGGTCGGCGGCGGCGACGCGTCTGTGTCGCTACGTCTACGCTTCCTGTTCGCCGTGTTCGTTTCGCTGAGATCTTTACCGCAGCCGCCGCCGCCGCCGCCGTGACCAGAGGATGGCTGCTGCTGCTGCTGCGGGGTGGGCGCGGCGGCGCGTCCGCTCGCGGGCGGAGTCCTGGAGCGAGCGCAGGGGCTGGACGCGCGACTACCCGCGCTCCCACCGGGACTGACTCTGCCGCCGTGAAGGCCGGGACTCGAAACTCTGGAATTCGTTGCGCCAGCGCCGACCAATGTCTCGCTAGAAACAGGACCAACTAGTCTTCCACTTGATACAGCAGTACTTGGAGTTTGGAGACCAGAAAGGTCTGCGTTAGATTCCTGTGTGCTCAGTGACGCGAGACTAGCGGATCGGCTCATAGAGGGCGTGCCGGGCTGACTCGATCTCTTCGCAGGTAACGTAGTTCCCGCTCTCTCACCGTTGACGCCCGCGGTGTGCTGCGGCAGCGCCAGCTTCTGCCATGTCTTAACCAGCTTCTTTGCTCGCTTAGCCAGTGAGTCATTGCTAGTTTTCTTTCGCACCTCGTTGACATACTTTCCGAGCCTCGTTTGCTGAAAAATGACGACACCAACACACGAGTTAATGCCAGGTTTTAAAAAAAACGCTCGCAAAAAATACGTTAATCTGTTACTATTTACAGCTTATAATACCTTGCTCTGCTACAATTTAAACCCACGATTGCTTGTATTCAATCTTCTGTGCATGATCAGTGCAGTGCAAAATTGGCTATAATTTAATATCATATCAATTTTAGATTGAACGGTGATGAGTCATGGGTGTGTTGTGTATTGCCACAGACAACTGTCCGGTAAATACTGCTGACCAAACCAGAACTGTGTGAGCTTGTACAACCTATGCAGTTACAAATGGTATAAAGCTGCAATCTGCGATCATTACCTCCAAGTCTTCGCGTGTGATAGAGGCCTTCTCGAGCTGAGAAATGACAGCAAGCACTCCTGGCATATCAACAACCTGTCGAGACAATAACAAATACACGTGAGAAAACACAAAATATACTGTACCGTCTTTAAATTAATAAATAAATAATAAATAATAATAACAAATACATGTGAAAAAATCCCATTACCATGTGCTTACAATCCTTACATTCAAATGTGATATGATGCGAGACGGTGCAACACAGTTTAAACGTGTCAGGGTTTATGTTAACTGATGAAGGCAAGTTGCAATCAGCTTCAATCAAATGTGTGGAAAAATAACTGACTGCTCTACATGCTTCTTCATAACGTATAGAAATTTTACATGTACAGTCCGACCTCCTTTATCCGGCCATCCGTTATCCGGAAATCTCTATTAACCGGCCACGATCTCGCAGTGTATGTTCTCTGTTTTTCATCCATTTCCACCTAAAAAACCGTACGTGTGTTTGCGTGTGTTCGCGTGCACGTGTGTTGTCCGCTCGTGTCCGCTATGCCTCCGGTAAAATTTCTGTTCTATTTCATTTTATTTCCATTTCATATAAACCATAAAACACGACAGTTTGTTACAAATAATCATAGCAACGAGTAAATACATTATCACATGCATAAACCCTACTGAACTGCATAGCAATGCTGTGTTTGAGCATAACTCTCATATCCGGCCAAATCCCATATCCGGATGGGTCCCGACGTGGCCGGATAAAGGAGGTCGGACTGTATATGCATTATTATGATGACAGTGTATTCCTAATTCTGATTGCAAATTTTGGTTGTCTATTTTTAAACCTTTTAGAGTTGACAATGACTTTATTTTTAACCCCAAATACATTCTAAATTACCATTATAGGAATTACATGGGATAAAAAGCAAATATTAATCAATACAACAGGAAATGTTTACATTCTTGTTTTCAATCAGTCAATTTGGATGCTTTTTCGAAAGAAATGGGATTAGATTGAATATCATTGATAACAGCGATGTGCAAATTGAAGCTGGCCAATTTCTTATTAAGAATGGAATAGATTTTTCTATTTGAATAAGTTTTAAATATTTTAATAATCCTCAAAGCTACTAGTACTACCTTTGAAAAGATGTACGGTACTTCACTACTTGGTGCAGTGCCACACAGGGTTACTATACGTGTATAAAATATACATTAGTAAGGTGTTTGCGTGTCTGTGTTTAGGTATTACAATACAGGGCTTAGGGGCTGTTAGTGTGTTACGTGTTGGGTAAAAAAAAATTTTTTATACAGAGTCTGTCATGACGTTTGAGATCAAATAAATAGAAAGCATGAAAACCAATTCACTGTTGTCGTGTTGATACATAACAGGTATTTTCCATGCTACAGAATCCACGGCCGAGATTACGCGAGCATATCAACGACGATAAACTATTAAAACCGCGAAGAGTCGGTTTCGCTAGCTTACTGTATCGGCTGCGCTGCCTTCATGCCACCGTCTGATACAATGGGACACATCAGTCGACATTCTCTAGCAGCCAGAATATACCCGGCATGCAACGCGAATGCGGCATTCATTTTGGCGTACCGCCTCGCTTTCGCACTCGGCTGGGAGACGACATGCGAGGAGATCATGCTGACACATATTTTCAGCTACCGATATTCTGCTTAACTATGAAGTGAAACTAGGAAATTTTGGTACTAAAAGGAAAGGCGCATCTCCAGCTTCAGGTTTATGTGAAATACTGTGAGGTAATCGACAACATATCCGAGAAAACTGCGCAGCAAGTGTGCGAGAAAATGAGAACAAAAGTTCACCGAGCAACAATTTATCCTTTCATCTGACACCGGCAGCTATTTGGCATTTCTTATACAAATACCTACGAATATTTCTTACATTGTGATCCCGATCGATTGCCTTCAGTAGCCTCTCCTTAATTTCACTGGCAACGTACTGCATGGGGTCGTGAGACGGCCTAAAAGTGGCAGACTTCGTCCAGCCAATTCGCTGTACATCCACCAGGATGGCGGACATGTAGGCATTGGGTAGCGGATTCCCAATGCCTTTTGGGATACATGTTACCGATTGTTGACGATAGGAGTGACGCTGCTGTTGTTCGGATATTGTCGGAAATCGTTTTAACCAATTGAAAAACAGCGTTATATTTTGTGCGTTCCGAAAGTAAGATGGCAAAAAGCGTTGCATATTTTTACGATCCCGACGTTGGAAACTTCCATTATGGCAAGTATTTATATTTTTTAGTCTTTTTCGACGTTCAGTAATCGGGGGTTTGGTTTAGAGTATAATTATAAAGATTAAAGTCGTCATCATGATTTTATATCTTCACAGTCATGTAGTTAGTGATTATCGCGTTTCACAGCTTACCGAGCGAATATCGTGTCAATGAATGAAACTAAAAATAGTTTGCAATGACGTAAACGAATTTGAGCTCATGATTTATAGCAATTATAAAAGTGTTTATGTATATATTGCGATACACATATTTAATGCATATATGAATTCTTAAAATTCAATAAATTGGAACTTGGATACCGGTAAGGTTCAAGTTTGTGTGAAAGCAAGCAGTTGTGCAGGGGTAGAAATAAGGAGAAAAAAAACGGTGGACCACCTAGTTTGAAATTTAGATGGTCTTCCTAAATTTGAAATTGTTCTCTAAAAGTAATGCGGCGTGCAAGCGTAAGAAAGAGATTTTACATGGTGATAAAAATGTAAAATGGTTTAATTATTCACCTACATTGAATGTATCAAACGATACAGTAATTGTTTATTCACTTTAATAGTATATTGAAACGTGGAAACTTCAAAGAAAATTACCGTAAAATGTCACCAAAATATTCAATGGTTCGTCGGACCAATGACTTTAACCTCCTGATTATTTGATGGCCCCGGACCATCGGACCATCGCTTATTTCGACCCCTGGTTGTGTAATACTAGTTAATTGTATAGATCATGGTGATCATGGCATGGTTTTGCTTTTCAGGGCCCGGACATCCTATGAAGCCTCACAGATTAGCCTTGACACACAGTCTGGTTTTGAATTATGGTCTTTATAAGAAAATGAAGGTAAATCATTGTATTATATAATACAGCAAAACTGCCTTAGAAGTTAGTACCCTGCTGTTAAGATAATTGACTCGCTGTGAGTGTGTATGCATGTGTACTAATATATCCAGAAATAAATGCATACACACCTGTGCGCACAATCACACATCGCAAAGCACTTCGGTGCACAGTTTGTTCATATGTTAATATATTTGCATCACAGTTGTGTGGATTACTTTCAGGTGTACCGGCCGTACAGGGCTACGATGCACGACATGTGCCGGTTTCACTCTGATGAGTATATAGACTTCCTCATGCGTGTCACTCCACAGAACGTTCAGGTAATCTAGGTGATGTGACAGCATCTCAACGTCGTGGAAACTTCCATCTCACAGAGGGAAAAAACCAAACAGATACTAGTGTTCTGAATCTGTCAATTTGCACCTGATTCGGAGTTAACACAACACTGCTATTTCAAGATCATTTAATGTGCAAATTATATGTACTTGCTAAACACAATGTTTAGTTTTGTATGTTATGTTATTTTTTTTCTCAGAACTTTACGAAATGTTTGAGCGTGTTCAACGTGGGTGACGACTGTCCGGTGTTTGAGGGTCTGTATGATTTCTGCTCGATGTACACAGGAGCTTCCCTGGAGAGTGCCGTCCGTCTCAATAATAACGTAAGATCCACATTCACATGTTAACGTATCAAGTTAATGAGTATGCGCTAATGGTTTTTCTATAAAACACGTACGAACTTCGGATGCTCTGTAATGTTTGGTGAGGGTAGAGTGTGGGGGAAAGGTTAGGATGGAAAGGGTAGTAAAAATTATGAATGATAGAAGCTATGAGATGGTTCATTCTGAGCATGAAAGTTTAGTGTTACAAAGGCTGATTTTTTTTAAATCATTTTCAATAAGGCCAAAACAAAATATATGTGTGGTTACCGTTCCATGCCGGAAAAAAATAGGGTAGGTAGGTAGGGAAAACATTTTATTTTTTTGAAATATTTTATTTACGAACCATGTCCGAAGGATGTGCATTTTGTGCCTTTTGAAGCAAGAACTATCCAATTCATTTTTTTATTTTTTATTTTAAAGAAAATTGGCAATAAAATGTTTAGGGTCGCTGGGAATAAATAGGGTTGGTCGGGAAACCGTAACCACACCTATATTTTGTTTTGGCCTAAATGCAAATTATCAACTGATCCGGTTATACGATTAATTTCACTGCTTTTATTTATTTCAGAACTGTGATATTGCCATAAACTGGTCTGGTGGATTACATCATGCTAAAAAGTTTGAGGCGTCAGGGTTTTGTTATGTCAATGATATTGTCATCGGAATATTAGAACTTCTAAAGTAAGTGCACTATGATTATCTGTGTATACCTAGGGTATAGGGTATAGTGTAGGTGGGGTTTCTGGATGTTCCTACCATATAATTACGCTTGATGTTGGTTAATGTCTAATAGTGACTGGTTTGAAATCAGGCACAATATTATCGGATATTAAATAATATTGTGTTAGCTATGTCTTTATATCTCTATAAACACTAGTATTTTATATGTCACTATAATATTGTTCATACATTTCATTAATTGCATGCAAATATGTACATGTTTATATATAGCGGTTGTTTACTGACTGTATTTATTATACGTTATAATATGCTGAATTCTCGTATAAATGTTATATTTTTATTAATGTTCGTATTTATTCACATTGATCTTTTACAGGTACCATCCGCGTGTGCTCTATTTAGACATTGACATTCACCATGGCGACGGTGTTCAGGAGGCATTCTATCTCACAGATCGCGTCATGACGGTCTCCTTCCACAAATACGGAAACTACTTCTTCCCCGGAACAGGTATGAATTCAGCTGATGTACCTTTTGATGTAACTAGTGACAGGCACATCTTTGGGATTGAGGTAAAAAAAAAAAACGGTATTTGTTTTGCACAGGCGAGTGAAATATGTGTAAAAATAAACTGATATTCTGATTGATGAATTTCTCTTAAAAATGTGTTGATATGTCTAGTTGCCACGGTGAGCATCGTATGCACATGCAGGGGTAGAAATAAGGAGAAAAAAAGAGATGGTCCACATGACTATCTAGTTTGAAACTTAGGAAATGGTTCCCTCCTAAATTTCAATTGATTCTCGTAAAAAGTACTGCGGGTGACAGCGTAGAAAAGATTTGTACCTTGTGATAAATGTGTTTATTATTCCCTACGTAACAATGATGTATGAAACGATACAGTAATTGTTTTATTCACTAAGCCGATTATTTGCAGAAGTTTTCCAGCTGTTTTATCACTTTCACGTACCTAACTTTATGTGCTTGAATACAGCAATTGGTCTAGAGAGTACAATAAAAATAGGGCTTAGAACCTTACTATTCACGAAAACTGCGATTTCGAACTAATCGGTTTTGTAACATTCGTTTTCTTGTATCTTGAACTAAGGAAGTACGATTAGGACTATGTGCGCCAGCCCGTTATCTGCCATACCCCAGATGCAGGCAACGCATTGTTTGCAATTCTATCACCACAAAAATAAGTTTACAATTCTGCCATTAGCATTGTCCGACCGATAACAATGCATTGCTGTTACGATGTGTTTCAATTTTCATATGCGCTATAACTGCTAATCTTGTGTATATTTTTATTTTGGATTGTAGATCCGTGATATTGTTCGCTGTCGGTTGGACTATATTGTGGAACGAATATAGCTGGGGGGTAGCTTGGGAAGAAACGAATATGCTGAATTATAGTCTCAACTGACAGGAAAATACTATTCAGCTCATATATTTCGTTTTTCTGAGAAATCTCGACAATAGATCATTTTAATATCCATTGGAGGTTTGAAAATCAAGCATTACCGTAAATGGGCAAATATTCTGGTCACGTCGACGCAATTGACTTTGAAGATTGATGGTCCTCACTGATGTATTTGGATAGGACCCGACATCGGAAACCATCGCTTATTTCGACCCCTGTTGTTTGTCCATTTGTTCTATTGTTCTATTGTTACTTGTATCTGGTGCTTTTCATGTCGTTCTTTGATACTGAACGTAGTTCACATTGTAGTGTGTTTGCTTTACAGGCGACATGTTTGAGATCGGAGCAGATAGTGGCAGATATTACTCACTGAACGTCCCGCTGAAAGAAGGGATGGACGATGCCAGTAAGTGAACATGTTTAGTATAAGTGAGAACTGAAAGTCCCACCGCCATATTGGGGTCAAAGTGCAAGGGGTATAGCATTGCCTCGGCACACCATTGAGAAGTACGCGAAAAATGGCAACAGACGTGCGTTTTTACTTTCTGCATTAACGCAAACATTGCACAATATCTCAAATTAGCACAATCATATTTATAAATGTTTCTATAAACAGAAAGGCACCTGTGAATTGAAGTACGATGTTATTGAAGAGAAATATAGATGAAAAACCTAGACGTTCCGACGCAGCCGTTATCTTTGTATTAGACTGGTCTGCGCTCGACAGTTCCACGCTACGTCAGTGGAACCCGTAGGATTATAGAACGGTAATCCATGGAAAATCGTAATGAAATTCACACGTTTATTTTTGTGTGCTGGCACACTCGTGTGTCATTCCCGATTGTAGCGTTTTCCTCAATTCCAGGAATGAGTTTTGCTGTCGCTCTCTCATAGCCCAGCGGTGTCCACCCCCTACATTTTAGTAGTGATTAGCACCATGCGACTGAAACAATCGTGCCCTCCCCCCCGTACTTCAATCAATGCCGCCCCAGCTAGCAGGCACGTATACGCAGCGTCGATGTGCACAGCCACAGACGCGTGTCTTTCGAGCCGCTTTTTTTAACGACCTTTGAAAATATAATGGGAGAATGTTGTGCGATAGCGCCCTGGCTCAAAGGATGTTAGGAATATTACACAACTAGACATTTTTTAGTTGTTCAATCGGGCAACTAGCCAAACGAATAACTTGTCCGACATAGAGTTTCACTTGTCCTGAGCCTCATATCATAGCGCTTCGTAATCCGCCATGAATAAAAAACAGCTCACAATAACCAGCCTATTTTATCAGATTCCTTCTAACTAAGACTGAATCAGAACACACTAAATGCCCTTATGATGGTGTCTGTGGAAGGCCCATCAGCTCAGGACTTCCCCTTCCATGAGGCAGCAGATGCCTGGGCAGCAATTAGGAAAAGGAAACTAAAGCCTTTATTACGATATTTGATTTTCTACTCGGTAACGGTGCTCAATCCGAATTAAATATAGCGAAATATAGTTTCACATTATAGTATATTTATTTGCATTTTTCGCACATTGCTTTATAACATTTGACTGGTTACATTCACACTAGTATACAAATTGAAGCAATGAAAAATGACTCATCACCTCATGACTCTTGCTCAACGAAATTATTTTTGAAAATATACGTGCATAAATTTTTGTGGGCAAATAATGCTCCAAAATAAGGCTCAGATTGCCCCAGAGCGCATCAAAAACGCCTGAGCTTCCACGCGCTCATAAGGCGGCCCTGGCCGCGCACAACGTTACTTCGCGCTCCACGCTCGGATTGTGCGCTTCGCGGCACATAATTTATATTAATATCTAAGGTACCTCCTCTCTAAAGTTCGCCAGTTTCACATGTTTGAAATTTTACGGTGCTGTGACCACCTGCGAGCATTTTATTATAAAACGTGATGTATTATCTAGCATTGAACCCATTCTGAGTTGGCAGAAGTCTTTGGCTTTTGAATCGATTCTAGCACGTTGAAGCATGATGTATGAAGCTATAAACGCAGGAGATGATTCTAGCACTCGTGAACCCATGATGTATGAAGCCTATTAACGCAGGAGATTTTTCGTATTGCATGCGTTACAATCAGATCTTTAGCGATCGTCCAGGATGTGATGGACGTACCGCACCGGTGTATCGTGCTAGCAGTGCGGGGGCCGACTCAGCAGCGGTGATCGTCTCGGTGTTCGGAGCCTCACCATACGCGCGCACGGCGTACGTCGTTGTCAATTGCTAAGCTTGCCGCTGTTTAGTATCACGAGCGTTCGTCAGGCATTGTCAGTATCAACATGGTGATACTGTCATTAGTATCAACCGTAGTGTCGCTGTCTTTCGTTGTATCGATGTAGTTGCTCCTTATTGTTTAGTATCAGGGAGTAGATAAAAGGGAATGGAGTGTGATCAATATTAAACAATGGGAAATTCGTCATTTACTAGCCTTATAATCACCTACGATTGTACTAGCGTAACTCATCCAACTTTGAGCTGCAAACGCGGACACAGTACGATTTCGCCCATTCATCGTACCACAATCGTTTCGCTCATATAGACACTCGCAATCCGGTAGATACAGACTAAAACATACGACACGATTCTCCAATCTTGTCCATTTATTCACCGTAGCGAGCGCTATAATTCAACAAAAGGCAGCTACTAACCACACTGGCCCACTGCTTCGTTCACGCGAGGGCGGCTGTGGCTCGGCAGGGGAGATTTCAATCGTATCTGCTGCTGATAGCGGATGGACGTGCGGCGGTGCCGGCATGCCCTGCATATGACATGACAAAGGCATACATTGTGCTGTCTACGGCTGGTCAAAAGGTTATCTCGCCGAGTTGTTGCGTTGATGGCCTAATCCCCTGCTAGCCAGCAGCGGCCTCGCTTCCAGTGAACGCATAGCCGTGGCCGAGTGTGTGTTAGTAGTGTGCAAGGAGAAGAGGCGTAGTTTGTAGTTATCAGTTTAACGTATAAATAATCAATGAAGACCATATACGAATTTGTGTTTCAATTGAAAGGAAATATATGTTTACCAACCCATACAGTCGCCATCTCGTCGTCCCGTCCTGTCGCTGCTTCACCGTCAGTCCCAAATCCTCTGCGTTCAAAATGGCTCTTCCCGTCCCTTATATATCACGCTCTTATCAAATCACTGTCCAGCTCTACTTTACCTCTAGGCCACTCAACACACCACTCTCCTTTGTTGCAAAGCATACGCGGGAAGGTACATATGGTCGACATCTGTATACGTGTCACCTCAAGCATCCGCAACATATCCGCGGCCGTACCCTACACCTAACTATTTCTCATTTGTATGCCAAACGCCCAAACCCTTCTCTCTGTAAAAGCCAATCTATCTACAGATTACTAAGCCAATGTAGAGCATCTGTACAATACATATGTAAAAGAGACGTTACATTTACCTTCCCCTTCAACAAAACGATTGCAACCCAGCATCGATTCAGCGCCCGCTGATTACTAATCCTTTAACTAACTCCCAAGCCCCCTTTTCTAACACACACACAGACAACACACACATCTGTTCTCTGACGAAAATAGAGGCCCAACAATAAATAATTTCCGGTCTATTGTCCATCATACCGTCTACAACAACTCCTTCTATGGAACACATCTTCCCCTCCCCACATAAGTAACTGTACACAATTTTTAGCACAACGCTATTACTACGGTTACCAACCAGCACCATGGTATCCACGCTATGGCTTCACACTGCCAGCCAACAAAATTCTCACTGACCACAATGATTAAATCCGCATACTTGACACGAATTGGCCAAGTAAACCAATCTGTGCAATATACAATTCTTAAAAAAACCCTTGAAACGACCCCTGAAAAGAGAGAAACACACACAAACTACCCAACCCAATGCAACACAACAACTCAATAAATTACGCAGCACGCTATAACGCTGAAATAGAAGCCCCAAAACTTCAAAATGTTTACGCCGTAATACACTATACATACTGCTACTGAAATACATCAAAACACCATACATAAAACACAATGAAAATACATATCCAACTGCAATAATACAATATAATAACTTCTTGATGCTTCCGAACGATGTTACGATGTTTACAATGTCCTCCTGGTTCTTGATGTTTGAATCCTCTGCGCTGCTTCTTCTATGCCGATTTGGCAATAATGATAGTGAGGACGTAACTTGTCTAAATGTGCTGGTGGCCATTTAATTTTGCTTCAGATAATGTCAATGGGTTTATGCCAAAAGTTGTTCACCAGCACTGCCCAAAGCTGCCATACACCATTTAGTGTTTGTGGGTATACAAATATTGTTTCAAAGAACATTGAAGATCGACCACTCTGCTGAATTCTCGCTGACGTGATGCGTTCGTTGAAGTATTGACGTTACTGAAGTGTAGTTTTCCGCTCCTTGCCAACTGATATACTGACTGCCGCCTCGATGTCCGCCGAAATTTTGAGCAAGACTCTGTGTAGCGGCAGATTCGCGCGATGTACTTCCTCTCTAATGTCCCCGCAAACTGCAAGCAATTTATAAAAAAAAAAAACCCGAACAGTATCTCTCTCCTACCCGCGAATCACTTATAAGCCGATGGCTTTAATAATATCGTGCGCACACATATATCAAACCGCAATTCCTATGTAATACCCACACTCAAACTCCTTATCCAACCATCTACATCCAATTTACTAAAAGCGACGACATCATTCAGAATTCAAAACAATGTTTCATTCTTACCTTTTTAATCCCGTTTTAATGCTAACATTTAAATCCCTTTCACTCCTACCACAATCATTTCCTACAGCTTATAACTAACCTATATCACCTCGCACCATGGTCCCCGATACTAGAACCATCAATGCTACCAGCAATATTAAATCACGGTATGATTAATCATAAATACAGCATATCAAATCATCATAATAATAATACTAACAGACTGGCACTTCAGAAATATCTTACACTATTTACACTGGTACCATACTCTCAACTCCACAACCGTACCGCTGCCACCTCAAAACGCCTTTCAAAATTTCCACTGCGACATTCTGTAAATGCTATAATTCCCACATAATGCCTTACACTGCACGCACACCGTAACTTTGTGTTCGCCATCTTATAACCTTGTTTCTACTATTTATCTGGTAAGTTTAGAAAAAATATTAAATGACATTCAACCATGCAGTTGTCTGCGAAAACACGACCGTGCTCGAACGAATTTATACGGCTTCCGTTCCGTGCATGCCCCACCCCATTGTGACTGTCGTCTCCCACAAAAAGTATAACAATACAGACCCTGCATGTGCACTCATGGAACAATGGCACAATCAGCGCTGCACGGCGTTGATCGGCTGCTTGGGTTTACCCGTAGAGCTCCCTGCTCCTCTCAGACGCTTCTTAGTCTTAAAGAACTAAGTACCTTCCTCATTTCCCGGGTAAGTGTTGAAGAGACTCCATCGCCAGCATTCGCCGTGGATTGTGTGTAACCGAGCCTGTTTCGTAAGAAATTTTGAATCAAACATGTTACAATATGATGTTTCCTTACTATACGATCATCGGTTAGCTAAACGTAACGGTTTGCGTACAGAAATGCGTCATAAAACGTCACTCTTGTACCCCGACGTGCAGTCCTAGACCGATCATTGTGTGGAACACGACTTACACACCGCTTTACACGTTGATTAAAACTGTGCGCTATCGTTATACCCGCCCATGCGCCATAGCCCATGGCGACATCTAGCTGCTTAAATATCTCAAAATATACTCAAATCAAAAACAATTCCGCTCAACCCGCATTAATGCTATCGAGTTAGGTGACCGCTGAGATTCAGCCATACGTTACGTTAATGCATTCAGCGAACACATGACTACTAGTATACGCTAGCTACATCGACACCACTATACCTACTAACCATACATACACACATATACTAACCTGTAAGCTCGTGTGAAACAATTCTACCTGTATCCGGATTTATTATTATGAATATTGCTGTACCGCCTCATGCAAATAGCCTATAAGTATCTCCGTAACATAACATCAAGAGTGGACTAAAAGAGATTGCACTCTCTATTATGCAGCTCCTGAATAACATGCCACCCTTTTGGATACAGGATAAGAACATGTGTGCAATGTATATATACAGTATTTTCACTATCACTTGTAATATTACACGCTGGTTAAACTATCGTTTTTAACTTTACTTAAGATTGTATATATGCCCGACACATTTGCTGTTTCACTCACCGATTTACGTATCTTCGTCTCGTTCAGCTCTTGTTCCGTCCATCTTTTGCTTCGTCGCTTTCTTCCTCCTCCCATCGTACCGCGGTGATATGTATTATAGCGTGTACCGTTACGTTGTATTTGCAAAACCCAGTCGCGTTCGTCACGAGCGACCAAAATGTAGAGCGTGGTTTGTATGTATAATTTAAAGGTATAAATATATCCAGAAGACATATAGAATTTGTGTTTCAATTAAAGGAATATATTGTTTACAAACATAACAGTCGCCATCTCGTCGTCCCGTCCTGTCCTTGCTTCCACAGTCCAGTCCCAATCCTCTCGGTTCAAATGCTCTCCGTCACTATATATCACAGCTCTATCCGAATCACTGTCCAGCTCTACCTACTCTCAGCCAATCACACACCACTCTCTCCCTTGTTTCAAACCTATTACGGCGGAAAGGTACATATGGTCGACATCTGATATACGTGTCAACCTGCACATCCGCAAACATATCGCCCCGCCCGTACCCAAACCTAACTATTTCTATCTGGCTATGCCAAACCCCACCCTTCTCTCTGTAAAAACCAATCTTATCTACGATTACTAAGCGCAATTGTGACATCTGTACAACATAATGTAAAGAGAGAGTTACAGTAGCCTGGCCTTTTTGAATTATAGGCTGCTCGCTACGGTTGATTAATCGACAAAAGATTGGCAGAATGCGTTGTCGTATGTTTTAGTTCTGTTATCTTCGTGATTGCGATGTCTAATTGATGGAACGATTTGGTAGGGCGATGTATGGCGAAGTTACTGTTGTCCGATTTGAGCTCATGTTCGATGATGTTACGCGTAGTAAAATCGTAGGTATTATAAGCGCTATAAATGAGAATTTCCCTTGTTTATGGAGTCACACTCCTTCCCTTTATGCTACCCTTGTTAGTATTAATGTAGCGTCGCCATTGTTAGTATCAACATTACGTCGCTGTTGTTAGTATCAACATTACATCGCTGTTGCTAGTATCAATGTAGCGTCGCCAGGTGTGCAATGGTTGCATTGTTATCAATGTAGGGCGTACGCTTCTAATCAATTACGACGCATTGTTAGTATCAATGTAGCGTCGCCATTGTTAGTATCAATGTAGCATCGCCATTGTTAGTATCAATGTAGCGTCGCCATTGTTAGTATCAATGTAGCATCGCCATTGTTAGCTGCATGTTTTTTTTTTTGTTCTAGCGCATGTTAGCATTGATCGCCATTGTTAAATCAATGTAGGCTTGGCCATTTGTTAAGTATCAATGTAGCATTGCCTTTGATCATGTATCGCATATCTCAACATTACGTTCATCGTTAGCATCGTCTTTAGTATTGTCGTTAGCATCATCGTCATCTTGCTCTCTCGCTGCAGGGACTGTGTGAAGTATGTGAAGGGCTTCAATGTTCCCATCATGGTGCTCGGCGGCGGCGGATACACGGTGCGTAACGTCGCGCGATGCTGGACATACGAAACATCACTGCTGGTAGACGAAGACGTCAGCCTTGAGCTACCTTACTCAGGTCAGTAACTACCTACCGTCACATTTACTCAGGTCAGTAACTACGCTTACTCAGGTCAGCTAACTTACCTTACTCAGGTCAGTAACTACCTTACTCAGAGTCGAGTAACTACGCTACTCAGGTCAAGTAACTGACCTTACACATGCCAGACTATACTATCTCGCCTTACTCAGGTCAGTAACTACCTTACTGCAGGTCAGTAACTATCCTTACTCCAGTCAGTAACTACCACTAGTAGACATACTAGCAGGTCCATAGCTACTACTAGGTCAAACTACCTACTCAGGTTCAGTAACTACCTTACTCCAGGATCAGTAACTAACGCTCTACTCAGGTCAGTAACTACCTTACTGCAGGTCAGTAACTACCTTACTCAGGTCAGAACTACCTTATCAGATCACGTAACTACCTTATACTCAGGTGACTATAACACAGATACCTTATACAGTACTACCTTACTCAGCGTCAGTACTACCTTACACACAGTGATACTACCTTACACAACAGTCAGTACTACACTACACAGAGTCAGTAAACCACCTTACTCAGGTTCAGTAACCACCTTTTTTACTCAGGTCAGTAACTACCTTACACACAGTAACTCCTTACACATAGGGTCAGTACTACCTTTACATCAGGTCAGTAACTACTTACCATCAGGTCAGTAACTACCTTACTCAGGTCAGTAACTACCATTTTTATATTTTATTTACACACAGTAACTACCTTACTAGGTTCAGAGCCTACCAGGTAAACTACCTTACTCAGGTCAGTAACTACCTGCTTCAGGTCAGTAAACTACTTAGCTCAGGTCAGTAATCTACCTTACTCTAGCGTCGTAACTACCTTAAATCATGTCAGTAACGTATCCTTACTCAGGTCAGTAACTACCGCTTACTCAGAGTCAGTAACTACCTTAGCTCAGCGTCAAGTAACTACCTTACTTCAGCTTCCAGTAACTACTTACTCCGGTCAGTTAACTACCTTACTCAGCGTCAGTAACTTACCTTACTCAGGTCAAGTAACTACCTTACTCAGCGTCAGTAACTACCTTACTTTAGGTCAGTAACTACCTTACTCAGGTCAGTAACTACCTTACTCAGGTCAGTCACCAGGTCAGTAATACCTTACTCAGTCCAGTAACTACTTTACACACAGTAACTACCTTACTCAGGTCAGTAAACTTACCTTACTCAGGTCAGTAAACTTACCTTACAGTTACACACAGTAACTACCTTACAGTTACACACAGTAACTACCTTACTCAGGTCAGTAACTACCTTACTCAGGTCAGTAACTACCTTACTCAGGTCAGTAACTACCTTACACACAGTAACTACCTTACTCAGGTCAGTAACTACCTTACTCAGGTCAGTAACTACCTTACACACAGTAACTACCTTACTCAGTCAGTAACTTACCTTTACTCAGGTCAGTAACTACCTTACACACAGTAACTTACCTTACTCAGGTCAGTAACTACCTTACACACAGTAACTACCTTACTCAGGTCAGTAACTACCTTACTCAGGTCAGTAACTACCTTACTCAGGTCAGTAACTACCTTACACACAGTAACTACCTTACTCAGGTCAGTAACTACCTTACTCAGGTCAGTAACTACCTTACTCAGGTCAGTAACTACCTTACACACAGTAACTACCTTACTCAGGTCAGTAACTACCTTACACACAGTAACTACCTTACTCAGCGTCAGTAACTACCTTACTCAGGTCAGTAACTACCTTACTCAGGTCAGTAACTACTTACACACAGTAACTACCTTACTCAGGTCAGTAACTACCTTACTCAGGTCAGTAACTACCTTACTCAGGTCAGTAACTACCTTACTCAGGTCAGTAATACCTTCTCAGGTCAGTAACTACTTACTCAGGTCAGTAACTACCTTACTCAGGTCAGTAACTACCTTACTCAGCCGTTTCAGTAAACTACCTAACTCAGGTCAGTAACTACCTTACTCAGGTCAGTAACTACCTTCAGGTCAGTAACTACCTTACTCAGGTCAGTAACTACTTACACACAGTAACTACCTTACTCAGCCGTCAGTAACTACCTTACTAAGAGTCAGTAACTACTTACTCAGGGTCAGTAACTACTTACTCAGCGTCAGTAACTACCTTACTCAGGTCAGTAACTACCTTACTCAGGTCAGTAACTACCTTACTCAGGTCAGTAACTACCTTACTCAGGTCAGTAACTACCTTACTCACAGTAACTACCTTACACACAGTAACTACCTTACTCAGGTCCAGTAACTACCTTACACACAGTAATACCCTTACTCAGGTCAGTAACTACCTTACTCAGCGTCAGTAATAGCTTACACACAGTAACTACCTTACTCAGGTCAGTAACTACCTTACTCAGGTCAGTAACTACCTTACACACAGTAAACTCTTACTCAGCGTCAGTAACTACCTTTACTCAGGTCAGTAACTACCTTACTCAGGTCAGTAACTACCTTACACACAGTAACTACCTTACTCAGGTCAGTACTATACTCAGGTCAGTAACTACCTTACTCAGGTCAGTAACTACCTTACTCACAGTAACTTACCTTACTCCACAGTAAACTACCTACTCAGCCGTCAGTAACTACCTTACTAGGTCAGTACTACCTTACTCAGGTCAGTAACTACCTTACTCAGGTCAGTAATACCTTACTCAGGTCAGTAACTACCTTACTCAGGTCAGTAACTACCTTACTCAGGTCAGTAACTACCTTACTCAGGTCAGTAACTACCTTACTCAGGTCAGTAACTACCTTACTCAGCGTCAGTAAACTACTTCTCAGGTCAGTAACTACCTTACTCAGGTCAGTAACTAACCTTAGTCAGCGTCAGTAGCTACCTTACTCAGGTCAGTAGCTACCTTACTTAGGTCAGTAGCTACCTTACTCAGCGTCAGTAACTACCTTTACTCAGGTCAGTAGCTACCTTACTCAGGTCAGTAACTACCTTACTCAGGTCAGTAACTACCTTACTCAGGTCAGTAACACCTTACTCAGGTCAGTAACTACCTTACTCAGTGTCAGTAACTACCTTACTCAGGTCAGTAGTTACCTTACTCAGGTTCAGTAATGCTACCTTACTCAGCGTACACGTTTTAGCTACCTTACTCAGGTCAGTAACTACACTTACTCAGGTCAGTAACTACCTTACTCAGGTCAGTAACTACCTTACTCAGGTCAGTAACTACCTTACAGTTACACACAGTAACTACCTTACAGTTAGTTACACACAGTAACACCTTACTCAGGTCAGTAACTACCTTACTCAGGTCAGTAACTACCTTACTCAGGTCAGTAACTACCTTACTCAGGTCAGTAACTACCTTACAGTTACACACAGATAACTACCTTACAGTTAGTTACACACAGTAACTACCTTACAGTTAGTTACACACAAGTAACTACCTTACAGTTAGTTACACACAGTAACTACCTTACTCAGGTCAGTAACTACCTTACTCAGGTCAGTAACTACCTTACAGTTACACACAGTAACTACCTTACAGTTACACACAGTAACTACCTTACTCAGGTCAGTAACTACCTTACAGTTACACACAGTAACTACCTTACTCAGGTCAGTAACTACCTTACTCAGGTCAGTAACTACCTTACTCAGCGTCAGTAACTACGCCTACTTCAGGTCAGTAACCACCTTACTCAGGCCAGTAACCACCTTACACACAGTAACTACCCTTTCTCAGGTCAGTAACTACATTTCTCAGGTCAGTAACTACCTTACTCAGGTCAGTAACCACCTTACTCAGGCCAGTAACCACCTTACACACAGTAACTACCTTACTAAGGTCAGTAACTACCTTTCTCAGTGTCAGTAACTACATTTCTCAGGTTCAGTAGCTACCTTACTCAGGCCAGTAACTACCTTACTCAGGCCAGTAACCCACCTTACACACAGTAACTACCTTACTAAGGTCAGTAACTACCTTACTCAGGCCAAGTACCACCTTTTACTCAGGCCAGTAACCACCTTACACACAGTAACTACCTTTCTCAGGTCAGTAACTACATTTCTCAGGTTCAGTAACTACCTTTACTCAGGTCAGTAACCACCATTACTCAGGCCCAGTAACCACCTTACACACAGTAACTACCTTACTAAGGTCAGTAACTACCTTACACACAGTAACTACCTTCCTCAGGTCAGTAACCTCAGTCATAAAGGAATTAGTTTTTTTAGGTTTATTGTTGATCAATGCATGAGTATTTTATTTGTCTATTGCAGAGTATCTGGAATATTTTGCGCCCGATTTCTCGTTGCATCCGGACATTCCAGTTCGCATAGAAAATGCTAACACACGACAGGTATGCTTCCTCACTGCTGCATGAAGTCACATCAGTCGGATTGCGTCGTCGGAGCTCAGTAGTTTTAGTATGATTCAAATGGAGCGTACGTGGCACCGCATGCCGCACTCACGCCAAACATCAACGTCTATTTTTTTCCAACTTTGAAATTAGATATTATAATTCTGGGCTTCCCGTTCAATCACGCGCTCTATTCGAATGCCCTGTTGTAAGTAAACCACCAGCCGCGTACACCCGACAGATCGTAAACCCGGAGCTAATCCTTACATTACACCTAGTCGTGTAATCGCTATAGTCAGACATACATGTTGATCGCTATGTGCGAATTTGTCGTTCATGCGAGTGATGAGTTTCACTCATTCTTATTTAATCTCAGTACTAAAAGTAGTACTATCAATCACCACAGTCCGTACTATAAGTTCTTCTGTTTCTTCACGCGCAGTACTAGGAGTCGTGAGTTCCGTTTTTGTTTTTTTCCCACGGTCAGTACTTGGATTATTACATCAAGGTTTCTGTGTTTGCATTTCCACGCGCAGTACTTGGACTACGTGAAGGTTTCTGTGCTGGAGAATCTGAAGATGATTGAGCACGCGCCGAGCGTACAGATGCAGGACGTGCCGCACGACCGTGCTCGACCTCGAGAACACAGAGGAACCCGACCCTGAATGTCTCCAACCACCAGAACGACATCGACGCCAGGTGAGAGGAGGCGGGGCGAGGATGAAGCGGGGGAGGGGTGGGGGTGGGACGGTGAAGGCAGGGATGGACGTGGGTGTGCCGGTCGTGGAGCTAAGGTGGGGTAGTGGTGCGTGGGGGCTGGGGTGGCAGCAGTGTGGGGGGTGGAGTAGGGTCGGTATGGCTGGCGCAGGACGTACTAGGTGCTGGTGTTTGTAATTGCCGGCAACGATTGAGCGTTGATGCTAACTCTGCGACGTGTCACGTTCCAGAGTGGATGCTCCCAATGAGTTTTATGATGGCGATAAGGATCAAGACCGGGAGGATGGATTCCTGGATGTATGATCCCAGCAGCCGACGTGTGCGGACACTCACGTTCATTAAGACTCTAGTGTGGGTAGGCGTGAGTCGCACGGTCGTGTCAACTGAAAGCCTACCAAGTAAAGCAATAGAGTTTAGTCGCTTTGTAAATATGTCTTCAACCATTTGGATGTGCTCGGTGGTTTCTGGATATCAGCGTACCAAACTTTCTTAGCAACGATCTCATCTAAAAAAGAGAGCAGTGCATAGGTTGGTTTCTACAGATTTATAAAATGCAAATGGGAAATTTATTTATCACACTTGAAGCTGAACGTTTACGGGTGCTTGTTGTGACCTTTTCACTTGATAGCTTGGCCGGTCGGCGTATCAGCATCGATGATGCGTTACACTCTCATGAAAATTGCAGCGTATGTGTCATCCTGGAAATACGCCGGTTAGTTTACTCTCAGTCTACTTCGTCTTTTATCCACATGCGCTATTTTCACTTCTTAGTAGCGTACTGGTGACCTATAACTTGATAATTTGCATTTATTGTGAATAATATTATTTTTGTACATAGTATACAGTGATAGATATATTGGTATATAAGTGACATTGAAGATTAATGTTACATATATCATATTATGTGTAATATAGAATATTACGTGAAAATGTTATTTCATCTGTGCCTGTATTGAATGTTGCCCATAAAACCTATGTGAATACTAACAGAAATACAAATAATAATACTATCATTCTCCCGCCTCCGTGTGTGTATATATATAATGATTTAAAGCAAATTCTTTTTTTCTATAAATATTGATGTACAGCCAAGTCATTTTATTCAATACAATTATATAACATTTCTTTATATAATACGGCCTATCCGACATTTCCATGTTTTGATATGATTATTGTATATGTATTCCATGGTTAAAAATAAAAACAATTGTAATGCGTGATGCAATATATTGATTTGGTAAATTTTATTTGGAAGTTTTTTGTACAAACTTGTTTTCTCATATTAATTAATAAAAATGTTACTGTATAAGATTGGTAAAGGTTTGGCCGTGAAATTCCCATCCTACACTTCTATGTATGTATTTCAATAATGTAGCAGCGACTTTGATCAAATATGACATTCTTCCGCCATCTATTGGAAGAAATAATTCATATGCGCACATTGTATCATGTATGTTGTGTGTAACCGTAAAATGCATTACTAAAGGCAATATAATACTCTAAAACGTATTTAACGTAGAGTGGAATTAATATAATTACCGAACAAAATTTACTGTAGAATATTGGTAAAGGTGTGGGGGCCGCGTGAGAATGTCCCTTCTACACTTCGATGTATGTATTTCAATAATGTAGCAGCGACTTTGATCAAATATGACATCCTCGCGCCATCTATCGGTAGAAATAATTTCTATGCGCACATTGTGTGCATTACGCGTCCATGTAAAATGTGCGCAACCGTAAAAATGCACAAATAAACGTATTATAAAACACCAGCAACGTATTTAACGTAGGATAGATTAATATACATATTGTATTAATAAATGATGTACGAGAGCAGATAAATCAATTGATTGATCTATATCAGTTGATATTATCCGTCGATTTATATGCTCTTGTTGAAATACATACATCGAAGTGTAGGATGCGAATTTCACGGCAAAACCTTTACCAATATTATCCAGTAAATGTTGTTCTTTATAGGTATTGTAATTAATTCCACTCTACGTTAAATACGTTTTAGAGTATTATAATACCTTTATTAATGCATTTTACGGTTACACACAACATACAATATGCGCATATGAATTATTTCTCCCGATAGATGGCGCGAAGATGTCATATTTGATCAAAGTCGCTGCTACATCACTGAAATACATACATCGAAGTGTAGGATGGGAATTTCACGGCCAAACCTTTACCAATGCAGTAAATGTTGTTCTGTATAGGGACTGTAATTATATTAATTCCATTCTTCCACTTTGATTTATATGCTCTGGATATACTTAGCGATAAAGTTTTGCAAAGCTTTGCTTTGGTAGTGGCATTCCCATAATCCACCTCGACATAAAACAAATGGCGCGTGGAAATGGCGCGTGTTTTCAACTGTTCATAATGTTTTCAACTTCGTAACCTCGTAAATGCTAATTGTCTTTATAGTCCTAGAGACTATATCGAAGACGGAAAGAGACAAAATTGATCAAACAGACAGAACAACACTGCGGATCGCAGTAGAAAAAAACCCAAGTTTGCATCTAACGAAAGAGGAAGGCCGAAGGAAGAGAATTATTCTATTCATCACAGAGATTCATCGTTGTTTTTTAAGAAAATGGTAAGTATTGGCTTGATAAAATTTAATAAGTGACATACTTTATGATAAGCTAATGCAAATGTTATTATTTGTTAAGTAAATCATTTGGAATAATTAATTTAAGCGGGGAACTCCCACGAGGATTCGCCAAGCCTAGACCGAATAATTCTGTCCCATATAATCTTTTTTTATATTTTTTGTTATATGGGACAGAATTATTCGGTCTACGCCAAGCCTAGACTAAAGTAAAGTAAAGTAATGGAGTAATGAGTAATGTCATGAAACACCAGTGAGTGAGGCTCATACTCATACTCATAGGGTCTATGTCCCCCAGGGTACTGCCGGAACGTACCCTTGGTACAGTCCGGTATACCGGAATGTACCCTGGTAACTATCTGATAGGGTTAGGGAGTAGGCGTAGGCGACTCCCTATAGACTCGTTAGTGGAGTAGGCGAGGTACGGTCCGGCATATTAGATAGTACCAGGGTACGTTCCGGTATACCGGACCGTTCCAGGGTTCTCCAAGGGCAATTATAGCCTGGCGCCCCGCCATCCTAAATTGCACCCACCACGCTAAATATCATACACCAGAAGTTCAAACAATTAATTAATACACGTTGGCCTTGATGCTACAGTCACCCTATTCCTATCCCTATCTCTATCCCATATTACCCCCTATACATATATCCCCTATACCAAAATTAATCTATGGTGTATAACCTTTTGCTTTACGAATTAAATATAGCGAAATATAGTTTCACATTATAGTATATTTATTTGCATTTTTCGCACATTGCTTTATAACATTTGACTGGTTACATTCACACTAGTATACAAATTGAACAATGAAAAATGACTCATCACTCATGACTCTTGACTCAACCGAAATTATTTTGAAATATAGGTCATAAATTTTGTGCAAAAATGCTCCAAAATAAGGCCTAGATTGCACCAGAGAGCATCTAAAACCCCTGAGCTTCCACGGGCCCTGCCTCCCGGCCACAAGTGACTTCGCGATCCACGCTCGTGATGTGCGCTTGGTGCACATAATTTATATTAATATCTAAGGTACTCCTCTAAAGTTCCCAGTTTCACATGTTTGAATTTTAGGTTGTGGACCACCCTGCAGATGTATTATAAAACGTATGTATTTCTAGCATTGAACCCATTCTAGTTGGAGAAGTCTTTGGCTTTGAATCGATTCTAGCACGTGAACCCATGATGTATGAAGCTATAACGCAGGAGATGATTCTAGCACGTGAACCCATGATGTATGAAGCTATAACGCAGGAGATTTTTCGTATTGCAGGTTACAACCAGATCTTTAAGCCGATTGTCCAGGCTGTGATGGACAGCTACCGACCGACGTGTATCGTGCTGCAGTGCGGGGCCGACTCACTAGCCGGTGATCGTCTCGGCTGCTTCGGGCTCACCATACGCGGCCACGGGTACGTTGTTGTCATTGTAGCGTCGCCGCTGTTAGTATCAACGTAGCGTCGTCGGCATTGTCAGTATCAACGTGGTGATACTTTCATTAGTATCAACGTAGTGTCGCTGTCTTTGTTAGTATCGATGTAGCTTCTTCCTTATTGTTAGTATTAATGTAGCATAACGGGGCAGGTAACCCAGTCTAACACGAGGTAGAGTAGACTGGTACACTTACCGACCACTCCTGCCATTGTCAATGGTGACAAAAATTTTTTTATTTATTTATGAGAGGTGAACTCGATTTGGAACCAGCAAACCAGCAAGTTCACCCCTACATTTTGGTGTTTTTATTCCATTAATTATTTTGAATTTTCCGATGGCTGTGCATGCCCATGCAAAACAAACATTTTCACCCCACATGCAGTGCTTCAAATTTACACACAGAGTATCCCAGATTGCATCTCAGAGCTTCTACAATTCAAAAACTTTCCGGGAGGGGGGGCATGCCCCCGGACCCCCCTAGCACTGAGTACCACCCCCATGCTATAATTTTAAAGCTTGGAGAACCCTGCGTTCCGGTAGTACCCATGGGGACATAGACCCTCTCAGCGTGAGTGAGTGACAGTGTACTGTGTAGCGCTTTCATTCTCGCTACAGTACAAGTGCCTCCTAGCGGGAGCGAAGGCGCTACACTGGTTCAACTAATACTGGAGCTAGAAAAAAACTGATCGGCTGCATGGGTCATTGAAACGATAATGTAACACTGAGATGAAAGGCGGATAGGCCCAAACTAGCTATATATCTACACTTGTACTAGTTGTAGCCCTTAGGCTTAGCTTGGCCACAAGCTTTTTTCATGGGTCGGGTATCGTGTCTACTTAAACTTTAGTAGAGGAACTATTTAAAATCTGTTGATAACTTGATAAACACTTTTTACTAGTATACTACCACAGTCCTGTTCAGGAAACACAAATATTAGCATTAGTCCATTAGCAATCCAAGAATTTGTTTGTCTTACAGAGACGAAGTTTTGCGCCGAGTGTTGTGGCAAAGCGGAAAGACCGAGGTGAGGACGATGACGGGGATGATGATGAAGACTGGAACATAAATCAGGTCTCTAAAAAGGTAAATAATTAATTATTCATAAAATTTATTGATATGCCGTACTTAGATAAATAAAACATGTTTACAGGATGTGTAACATTGAGGAGGAATTTAATTATGTACAATTCTGCATGATGTGTCAAATTGTTCTAGAGATATATAATATATATATAATTGTAATTTCTCTCTGCAAGTAAATGCATGTATACGCTGTATATTTCGCGGTGGTTTAATTTTCGCAATTTAAGACCGCGAAAATAACAACAATTGAATAATTCACACCGAATAATACCGAATAATTCATAATTCACTGACCGCGAAATTAACAACTCACGAAATTGTCCATCAAGTCTGAATTCGCGAAAATATCTGTAGTGTACGCAAAAAATATGGCGTATACACAGTACTTGATTAATTGCTTTGTTTGATTTATATTTTATATTATGCCATCAGAAGACTGGAAAGAAAGATCACCTCTTGTCCAGTCCACATATGTGTCCATTCCGGAAACCACTCACACCTCTGGGTAACCAGCCACTTGCCAACAGACACGGGCTATCTGCGCATGTAACTACCATTATCTCTACTATTACTATCACCTCATGTAACTACCATTAGCTCTACTATTACTATCACCTCATGTAACTACTACTAGATAATGTTATATAATTTAGAGAACTATTTACTTCATACCTGGTGTTCATGAAAGCATGGCATAGACCTATACATAGCATGCGAATACACGTATAAAATTGTCTGCTTTCTAATATTGATACTTTCATGTTTAATGAATTTATGACTACATTTTATGTCGTAACGTTCTATGTTTTCATTGTTTGTGTAATGTTAGTTGTCAGTTTTTAACATCATCGTTAAGACAACCACTGTATTGAGGGAATTACTAGTAGGGGGGTACTGTACGAGGGTTACTGGAGTAAACTAACCTTATCGTTTGATGCTGTTTAAGGAAGAATTCATCAAGAAGCTTTTGTCAAAGCCTTTCAAAATCCCGATACCAAATTACAAAGGTAAAGTATGAATATATGGTTCTAGGACAAATACCCCCCGGACAATCACTCCCCGGACAATTACCCCCGGACAATTACCCCCCGGACAATTACCCCCATGCCATTTACCCCCATG